ACCTTGCAAAGCTAAGAAAAAACCGAGCGGGCTGACACTTAGTCTTTATATATATAGTCTAGTATACATCACGTGGTCATCCTGGATTGAACCTGTGTGGTGCATGCTTCGGTCCTCAGTCTTTGCTCGCCAGAGGAACACCAAGATAAGCACCAAGCGCCCTAGCAGGCTGGTCAGCGGCTGATCCGTTTGGTGTGGGATTTGCTAACTGGTTCGCTCTGTGGATGTGGACGTGGTTCAAGAAGCGACGACGTTTGGGATCCTCATGGATCGGTCATGTCATGACCAGTGTTTTTTTTGTCCGAGTGTTTTGACAGGACACTCCCGTTAGCCCCTTCCAACAAAAACAAAACTGAACATGGAAACTGGAAGCTCTCTTGGAACTCAGAATTTCCTAAGTCTGGGCTGTGCAAGCACTTGTTTGTAGCCCACGTGGACGGACTGCTAACAATAACCATCAAGCAAAAGCGATGCGATCACTCATGGACCAGTTCTCCTTTACTGCCTCAGCTTCTTAAAAGCTTCCGTTGGCAACTAAGCGTGTGCACCAGCGGCAGGTGCACCACGAATGACTTTGATGCAGCAGCTAGGGCACTGGCTTGCCCTGCAGAGCTGCAGCCTGCAGGTTTTTTTCGTTAATGTGGACAGCTTGTACAGACTGTCTTGGCGAGATGTTTGCCTTTTTGCCACAGGCGAGATGTGGTTGAGCTACGACCGTCCGACTCGTGGAGTGAAGGGCGCCGATTCTGAAAAAGAAACATCCGAGCAATCAGACGAGGCTCCTTGCAGATGGCACATTGCTTGTGTTGCCCTGTTGAACGAATTATTTGGATAGTAAGTACTCCTCGGGGATTGGCGCCCTTCATTTGAGCTGCGATCATTTGATGCAGCTTTTGTAGAAATTCGCTGAGAATCTCAGCGTATTCGCTGAGAATCTCAGCGTATTTTACGATGATGTTAACTCTCTCAAGCTTGGAACTTGTGTGTGGCCAGAAGCTTCTTTAGACCAGCTGGCTCAGGCTCTGTAAATCCCAAGTCACAACCCGAGTCTCAGATCAGCAATGCATTTGTACAAGTGTTGGGACGAGCCACACCCTTCGGCCACACCCTTTGGCGTTTGAGTTCCCCTTTCGATGCCACGGACTGTGACAAAGGCTTTGGCTGGCATAGTCTGATTGGTGATTAGCTCAATCGTTGGCCGAGTCCTGACTTTGCAGCCCTGTCTACAAAGTACAGAAACGTGAGTTTGAATCCAAGTAGCCCATAGGCCAAGAGGTGGTCATTTGATTTCCTGCGGGTCTCTTTGTGAGGCATGGGTAGGAATTTGATGAAGTTTGCATCATTTTGTGTCAGATCCTTGGACACTGTTTGGGGTGGCGAAGGACTAGGCATGACTCGGCGCGCCCAAGCTTCCCAAGCTCGTCGGAATCTTCAGAAGGGTCTTGTCGCCACTGAATTCACTGTTGTGCTTTATATACCAATTCAATTTATATAGGGTCTTATGGCATCTTCAGGGTACACCGACCGAATGTCGATGTGCAGAGTGCAGATAGAGGCGACTTATGTGCTCTAGCGTCAATTGGCTCAGCTGGTTATGATAATCTTATACAGTCATTTGGAGGAATGTGGAGGAACCCATGCCAAAGAAGTACAGCACGGCCACACTACTCAGAGGTCGGACTTTCACATGGTGTTGGTCCATTTGAGAGAGATGGAGACAAGGCCCAAGATCAGATCCCCCTGCCATGAGTCAAATTGGCTCAACAAAAACGGTCGGAATCCGCTTCGGGCGGATTTCGGATGGCAGGCGGCCCGGCATGCTGTTTTACTGTTCGCCGCGCAGAAAGTGACATGCTGTTCTTTCATTCGAGATTTGAATCAAAGCAATATTTCTTTTCGATGAAGTGTTGTGAAAGCGTTTGGAATGCCGCGGCCTATAGCAACATGCTGTAACAAATCATTCTATTGCTTAGGGCCCTCTCAGAGATCTATATAGATCCCTGGAAGGGTTCTTGTGCAGCAGAGAGTCTCACGAGCGAGCTGGTTCTTTTTCGGAACGACTCGGGAGCCGCGGGGCTTCCGTCGCAGCCTGACTGGCCACGAAGAAAAGAACATCATGCAGCTTGAGTGCCACTCGATGAACTTGTTAGCTTTCGTGGCATGTCGTGGTTGGCACCCGCGTTTTTCTTGCAAACTGTTCAGTCGACGGTTCTTTGGTCTGAAAACGATTGGTGGTTGAGCTAATCCAACATGTCGGGAAGGAATGCACTTGTCTATATATATATATATACATGTTTGTACCGGTATTCAGTCGGCTACACAGAAATTTTGCCCCACAGATGCAGCGACCACAAGCACCTCAGAGGGTTGGTCGACTGATGCGCCTTCCTTGTTTTTCAAGGAAGGATGGTGAGTTGCCCTATGGCCTTGGGAAGCTACACCACACTGCCCCAAGCTCAGAGTTGCCGAGTGTGGGGGCCGACGTCTGCCGAAGATGGACTGCGATCGGGATGTCAGGCATCGCTGGGTTCTCAGGCCTCACTTTTGGTCAGTGGCACGTGATGGGTGTCGAAGCCTGGCAAGAGCCCTTGTTGGGTGTCGAAGCCTGGCGGGTGGTCACTTTTGGCAGATCAATTGTCAGGCCAGTCTTGGCCAAAACCGGCAATGCGGTGCACGGAGGTGATTCAAATCTTTGCCAGAGGTGATGTGTGTACCTACTTGTAATTAAGATTAATTAGGGCTTTGCTATCTTCTTCCGAACTTGTAGGACAAGATAGACAAGGCGCAAACACGGTATGTGAATTTTGTAGAGTGCGGACGGTATTTATCTCCCTGGACTGATCCAATTGCCCCCCAGTTTTACTATAGTTTCTATTATGCATGTTGATATTGGTGTCCTTTTGCGGCTCCATTGTTCTCATGTTTGTTGCTGTTCATGTAGCTTTTGGAAGGTTACGTTTTAGCTGTTGCAAGGATATCTTCCCAGGGATCGTGTATGATGGCAGCCCATGCTGAAGAATTATCGTCATCAACAGCAAATCCTTAGGACATGATTCATGACGTGTTTGCATTTAGCAGCCCAAAAGCACTGCAACAACAATCCTACTTACTTACCTCCAACACCGTCCCAAACCATCCCAACAAGAACCCTGAAACAGGCTCAAAAGATACCCAAAAAATCCAAAAAGCATCAAAAACCAACCTTGAACATTGAGGACTAGCCTGACTTGGCGTCCTTTTGTTGATCATGTCGGACCTGTTTTGGGCCCGGCCCATCGCTCTAAGGCACTGAAGGTTGTTCGGGCCCCAGGGTTGGATTCCAGGGGTGCTGGTGGAGTGGGGCCCGCGGTCCACAGAAAGTTTTAGTGAAAGGAGGCCGTGACAAGCCATGGCAAGCCTACACATTCGCAGTGAATGGAGTCTTCCAGTGATTGGTGTCACTTCGGAGCCTCTCCCATGCTGCTGAAGACGCTCCTGACGGAAGGCGTCTCTTTCGCGGCTGGAAGTTCCAAGTTCCGAGAAGGTGTTGGGTGGTGGCATCCCAACCCCACCCTGCCAGACGTGTCCATGTGCAATGTGCGCTTAATGCGTACCTTTAACTTGGTTTCGAAGACCCATTCGGATAGGTGGTGGTTGTTTCACCGCGCTGCATCCGCCGCGGTGGCGCCGAGGTGGACGTGGCTTTCACGCCGGAGTGGTCCAAAGTGATCACACAACTGAGCCAGGCGGACCCCGCGCGCGGACAGTCGCGCGGACTGAGCCAGGCGCCTCACGGCGTGGGCCTAAAGAGATGGAGATCTCAATCAAGAGAGTGAAGTCGGTGAAGTGTTGTTCTTTTCCAGGATGTCACACAAGTTAGCTAACAATAAACATCTGGTCTCTCCATATATAGAGACATCCTATGGTGGTACATGATATTTTGTCCAAAAGGGTAGCCTATCAGCCTAATCTTTCTGAAGGCAGCATTGTGGCGCCCAGCCAGCAATTATATATACTGTATATATGGGCCGTTTGAAGTTGCACCTTGCACAGCCGGGCTTGCGTATGGACATCATTTGAGCCTTTGGTGCAATCTACTTACTCACCTACTCTGGATCTGTTGTTTTTTAAATATACTATTTTGGTTGCACTCCAAATTTGCATCCTTTGTTCAAGTTTCATTTCATAAAACCTGGCGAACCATGGATTCCTTCCTCTACCTACCTTTTTCGGACACATACCCCCAAAACTCATGACTCAAACCCACTAAGTGGGTAAGTGGAGGTAAATATTCCATCATGGACGGGGTGTTTGGTCATTTGTCGTTTTCGAAATGCCCCGGCCGAAGTGGTGGATAGAGCTCACCTCTGGAAGAAACTCGGATCACATCGAGCTATGCATCTCAACCTACCTCACCCAGGTCATCTCAATGGAATTATGAAGCGGATCTCCCCTATAATTGGCAACTTTGTCCTATATAAAGTTCCCTTGTGGGATGTAAATCGTAACTGTCAACTCATTATAACTCATTCAGTGCTGGGGAGAAGCACGTTCCTTCTCGATTGGGTCAGGTCGTTGTAGCTAGAGGAGCCCTTTTGCGGGCATAATCTCTACTCGATCCACTCGAGCCCAGTGAAAAGGACAACGAAACGCCCAGAGAACACACGAAACGGCCCAATCTGAGCCGCCACAGCCAGGCACAGCCTCCCCAAGATCCTGAGCAAGAGGTGCCACAGATGTTTGACCAAGAGACCGGTGGAGCTGTTAATTAGGCTGCTGGTTGAGACCGGTGTTGCCGTCGCATCGAACATGTCTCTTTCGATTTCATGTTCTGAATGTTGGGGGTAGGGCGGGTGAAATTTGAAGGGCCCCCCCACCCACCAACCCTCCAACTCGAAATGAAAGGGCCGCACTCCGATCACCAACATGACCGCCCTTCGCCAGGAGCAGTGGCGACAAGATGCCATGTGCTTGGCACGCCTGGTCTCGAAGTTGCACATTGAAGTGGACAGCGCTCCTGGCCGTCGTTGGATGGCCGTCCTTCCGCTCCGCTTTTGGGGCCGAAAGGACAGGATGGAAGTTCCACAACGACTGGTAGCTGAAGGCAACCCACCCAAGTCGGCCAAGGATCCGATTTCGGTTGCAAGACATGGTCAGCGCTTTCTCGGCGCCATCACCGAGACCTTGGGGCGCACAGAGCACCCCTTGGACCGAACAATCCAATGCGCCAGGTGCTGGCGTGGCTCCGGCAGATGTGTGGGGGAGCGAAGGGGAAGTTTCAGTTGAAGATGTTGAAGCCATTGAGAGAAAACCTCCTCATCATCCTCATCCTGCCTCCTCCCTCCTCATCCTGCCTCATCCCTTCAAAAACCTCGCCCTAGTATGTACCCATTGACATGATGAACCTCACCTCACATCACAGTCGGCCTGATGAAATCATATGAAATCCATTTCAACATTCCTGCCGAGGCCCGCATCAGAGCTTCCAGCACCCAAAGTGGGCCAAGGCGCCCAAAGTGGTGGGGGCATGGTGCATGGTCTCACGACCATGAACCTCATGGAAACCCTTTTCTGGGTGGTGGTTTCAGATATTTTTATGTTCAACCTGTACTTGGGATGATTGAATCCACTGACGAATAATGTTCAATTATATAAGTTGAAACCACCAATCAGTTTTTCAGTCTTGTTTCTTTCTTCCCCCTTGACTGCCTCATCTGGCATTCCCCTATTTAAGGAACACCTAGCTTCGCTTTTCGCTGGACAGATCTAAAGATGCTG